GAGAGAGAGGGGGGGGGGGGAATGATCTTTCTAAATTGTTTTGCAGAGTGTATTTTTTATTCTATTTTATATTTCGGGACAAGAGCAAGGAAGTGGGAAATAAGTGCAGTACAATAACCAAGGATGATGCAAGAGCAATCTAGCAATTAAGTTAGCATAGTTATATTGTGCTGAACCAACTATGGCAAACTATTTAGAAAGATAATAGAATACAAAAGTCACCACATAGATGGTAATGCAGCTGATGGTGATTAAGATCATAAACATAATGGTACAATAAATCAAATAATCACCTTGAGTCTCTCCAAACACTATTTAGATGAAAAATTGGGATCAGAAGAGTTGCATTCAAAAGTCCAGCCAAAGCAACTGCATCACATATCTATATTGAAATATATATATATATATATATATATATATATATATATATATATATATATATATATATATATATATATATATATATATATATATATATATATATATATATATATATATATATATATATATATTCATGTACGTTTCTGACTAAAACTATACAAAGAAATTTAGCATGAAAGGTTGCCAAACTGTCAATCAAATTGTTATGATTGACAGTCCAGCGACATATCACACCAATAGAAAAAGAGCATTATATATGCATATAGTTTGTCTCTCCTACGTGACAACAATGTGCAAGAACAATGTGCAAAGCAAAGCTCCTTTTCGTCATTGATTGAGTGTGCATATATATCAAGCCTCCTCAAAAAGACAAAAGATTCATAACCAAAAGTACAAAAAGACAGTTCCTTGGTGTTTCCAAAACAACACACTTCATCCACATTAAGGAGTATATTTTCACTTTATAACCAAAAAACAAGAATAAAAGAAAACTTTGAAATGAACACTACAAACTCTGTCACTGATTAATTTCTTTATGCAAAGATCCAAACCACAAACATCAAAATAACAATAAATCAAACGAAGGGCTGATTAAGAAAATGAATTTCAGTTAGATACAATCACACGTACCGATAAGCGCTGCTGGTTCAATCCACCATTCGCTTCAATTATAAATAAACCATTTGACTTTGGTAATGCTGTTCCTATATTCCGTCCAAGTATTAAAAAACAGAAGTTAGTTATTCATTTAGTTTTAACAACCACATAATTATTCATTCTATTTGCCAATTATCAAATAACACAAATTCAAATTCAAATTCCTGCCACATTAAGTTAAAGATACACGAGTGAATAGAGCAATCTAAACATAATAAGGAATAACATATCACTTAACGAAAACATGTCATATATCTTTCTACAAAACATTTTTCAATAAGTATTTTTCCACACAACATGTGAAGATGAAGCATGATATCTTGGTAAACATTTGTGCATGTAAGTGTGTGTGTGTGTGTGTGTGTGTGTGTGTGTGTGCACTGGACAGAGACGGAGTGTTTTTCCTTTTGGAATAAACCACGTTTAGTATTTTCTTATGCACCCTCCAACCCTATCGCTCCACCAGTGTACAGCATGCATGTGGTGATATTCTCTTTATCTGGCATTTGAAACCCATATAAATTATAAAGCCTCATCTAAAAATGGTTGAGAGTGTAGTGTAGGGCGCATATTGCCAAGAGAGGCTGCAACACCCACTACATGATGAGTTTGATTAAGCAAAATCGGGTAACCAGTAAAATAAATGCATCCAGCCGCCAATTAAAATAGGTCATTGTCAGTTAACAGTGATCCTCATATGAAAAACTCAAACCTTCTTTTGGTGTATCTTTGCTAATACAAGGCTTCCAAACTTGATGCACTTTTGAATTCCACACTGTCATCAACTGCACGATTTTCATATCAGTATATAGTCAATTCACATAGTTCACATTGGCTGTAAACATCATTAAGAAATTTTTGCAGAAGTGCATAAGAAAAGATAGTAACCCCACAGAAGAGGTTACTCTAGAGGGCTAGAGATTGCAGTGATTTCGTATAAAGACAGTAAATTTTTGTATCAAAGGTATTTTGATTTGATGACTGCAGTGTTATTTTTGGCTATGCTGATTAAACTAAGTGTCCTTTATACATACCCAAATCAAGAAATCCTAATACGTAATAGAAAGTGGACTACAATGCATATCAAACTGAACAAATAAGCATGCACATTGATTGGTATAATGCTCAAACTCTAAGAACTTGCAAACACACAACAAAAAGCTGTATTTTCAGTCCCACAGCCAATCCAATACAAACAAAGTTTGGATAAAACAGAAAAAGCACTTACAAAATTGTGAGTGTGATTGCTCTCAGCCTGCATATAAGGCCAAAGCTTCTGAAAAACCTGAGGGCTCCTATACAAGGAGCCCGGCGGCGACCGCTTACTAACAACAACAACAGCGTTTTTCAAACTAACTACATCGAAGCTCACCGACCCCATATACAACAACATCCCCGAAATGTACAACAATGGAGCGAACAAAAGCACGCCTCGGCGCTTAAAAACGACCGAAATGAGCAAAACCAAAACTTTCTCCACAATGCTCTGCTTGGGGCCTCTGCCGCCGGCGTTCTTGTTCCGGCCGTGGCGGCAGCGTGGGGAGGACGGCGGAGAGCCAGCGGCTCGGGGATTACCGAGCCGGCTGTAGCCGTGCATTGGAGGAGAGAACTAGGGTTCTAGAAATTTCTTGAGAGAGAGGAGAGTCGAGATCTGATTGTGGGAGAGAGGAGATGAGGAGGAGACATTATGTGATTACATGAGAGAGAGAGAGAGAGGTTTTGGGTGGTTTGGGGGAAGACAAGATAATAAAGGAGAACGCGTGGGGATGAATCACGGGAACTGGAGATGCCAGCTTTGATGAGAGAGTGGTGTGGGTGTGTGGGTGTGTGGGTGTGTGTGTGGGTGTGGTTTCCGGTGGCCCCAGACTGGTGAGAAAAAAATATTGTTGTTTTATCAAGTGAAAAGCTTATCTTCACTCAATCGAACTGCACAATTTATTTTATGACCAAAAAAAAAATGCACAATTTATTTTCAACCAAAAATAAACACAAGTAAGGCAACCTCCTAGCAATTTTATTATCTTCACTCTCTAAGAGCAAGTCCAACAGCTAAGGCTGGACTCGGGCTGGGGGGTGTTAGGGCCAAAAATCGATTCCAACAACAAAGGCTGACCCGAGCAGGAGGTGGAAGCCACAAAGATGAGCTGGCCCAAGAGCAGGTTCAGCCCGAGATCCAAAACGAGGGGGAGCTGACGTTAGCGCACGAAGTTAATTTTTTTTTACTGTTGGTGCGTGCATTGCAAACTCTTTTCACCGTTGGCGCGGGTAGTGGCAGAGCCAGGAATTTAAGTGAGAGGGAGTACGTTTAAAAATTCCAAACTCTTTTCACTTTCTCTATTGTTACTTTTTGTATAAATAATCTAACATTCATTCATAATATCAAAATATGTGCAACTCAAAAGAAATTTAGACATGACAATAAAAGAAAAAACAAAGAAAAAAGGGGGAATTTAAGAATTTAAGAGGAATTTCATAATATTTGTATAATATTACTATAACTAAATATGCATACATCAATATTTGAGGAGGGGACATGCATTGGCTCTGCCACTGCCCAAGGGCTCACCCGAGTGGAGATGTTCAAGTGCCTTACCGCCCTGATACTCTTTCCTTTGTTGTCTCTTTCATTCTCAAGTCTAAATTTCTTTTGAGTTGCATATATTTTGTTACCATGAATGAATGTTAGGTTATTTATACAAAAGGTAAAATAGAGAAAGTGATAAAATTAGGGATTTCTAAAAAATTAGGTTGATTTGTAAGAAGATAGAAAAAAAAGAGTTTGAATTTTTAAATGTGCCCGCTCACTTAACTTCTTGGCTCCACTACTGTTGGAGAGCGGGTGTCGCACGGATAGAGGTGACCGAGAGAGAACGACACAAATCTTTTTTAAGAAAAAGAAAAGTAATTGAGACATTAACAGGGCATTGCTGAAAATGAGTTGGGTATTAAAAGACGGCATCTAAAAAAAAATGTGAGTCTTGACATATTGGAATGCCATATTTGGAGAGTACTATTACCTATTTTAGCCAATTTCGCTATTATAATTGCTAACGGGTCATCAGGTCATCAATTGACAGCCATTGGATCAATTCAAAACGAACTCAACGGCCAAATTAGGCTATGTATAATGTATTTTGTACTCTCTTTTTTTTATTTGTTGTAATGTATTTAGTACTTGTGAGTACCCAAAAAAAATCGTAGCAGGAAAGACTGTCATTAAGGATATAATTGTCACTAATCAGTCAAACGCAGCTCATTAAGGATATAATTGTCAATTCGCATCCAAATTAAGAGGGTAGAATCGGCAATAGAAAGGTATGAAAACCCTAGACTCGCTTCATTGCCTTTCAGAAACCAGTGGGTCTATATGACCAAAAAAAAAAAAAAAAAACCAGTGGGTCTCAAAGTCCAAACGCCGTTGCTTGTTTCGTTGGTGGGCGAGACTTTCAGAGTTGGTGCATTGGCTATGGATAAAGGTCAAGCAGAAATGGAGGGGCCTATTTTCAGGGACATAAGGCGATATTACTGCGAGTATTGTGGAATCTGCAGGTCCAAAAAGTCTCTGATTACTTCTCACATCCTCTCCCACCACAAGGTTTACTAATTTTTTCTTAATTTTAATGTTGTATGGTCGATTTATGAATTTTTCTGAATTGGGTCTTTGATTTTGAGTGGTATGCTGTTGTGGGTTTATTTGGTTTTGTCTTAGAAACGAAATTTGGAACTTGGGTTGTTTTTTGATTGATTGTTGTAATTTTTATTTATTTTATTTATATATTTTTGGGTGTAGGATGAGATGGAAATGTCTAATGTTGATGAAGATCGAGAAGTTGAGCAGAAAAAATCTAATACTTGCCAAGAGTGTGGTGTCACTTTCAGAAAACCTGCACATCTCAAGCAGCATATGCAAAGTCACTCACTTGAGGTATTGTTTATCGTCCATATTCAAAACAAGCTGAGGCCTTTGAACAAAAAAAGGACTGATAAATTGTCTTCTAGCCTGAGATTTCTTGAACTAAGCTTACAGTGTTTTGCTTTTATATGGCTTGGACGAGTTGATTCTTCTTGCTGCTTTTAATTTTGAATTGCTGCCTTTTATTAACCGAGTATAACTCTTCAATGTACTAAAATTGATCTGGCTGCAAGGGAATATTTTATGGAATTGTATGTTATTCTCCCATGTGTTGGCAGTAAAACTGGCAGTAGCTTCTAAAGGAGTAATTGAATGATGTTACAAGTGAGATATAATAGACTTTGATGATGTCAGAGCTTATTAGTTTCACAATTTCGGAATATGCATATATGTACTAGATGAAGTTTTGTAACGTTTGCATCAATTGAATCTATTGAATATATAAGTTTTGCAGGAATCAACATATATGAAATATATACAATGGATAGCGTGAAGCATTGGATCCCACACAAAGAACTCCAAAATGCAAGATGGTTCTGACTTGAATGGACTAGTACCAGGTGGGAGACCTCCTGTGAAGCTCCATCAAGTGAACCTCAATCACGCACTGTTTGGTTTGAGGTTTAAGTGACTGTTCAATTGTATTTTTTAATTTATATTTATTCGTTCATCAATTTATGTAGCTTATTCTTTGCAGAGGCCATACATGTGTTCAGTAGATGATTGTCATTCCAGCTACAGAAGAAAGGACCACTTGAATCGCCATCTCCTTCAGCACCAAGGGAAACTCTTTAAGTGTCCAATTGAGAACTGCAATCGTGAATTTGGTTTCCAAGGTAACATGACAAGGCATGTCAATGAACTTCATAGTGAGGATTGCCCTTCAACTAATGGTGGGGCTCAGAAGCAGCATGTGTGCAAGGAAATTGGTTGCGGAAAGGTGTTTAGATTTGCTTCGAGGCTGCGGAAGCATGAGGATTCCCATGGTAACTTTTGTTTTTGAATTCTATTTTTCTTTTTAACTTTTATATTATGTTGTCACAATGCAATGAAAAATGCAGATTGACATATAGATGACACATATTTTCCCCTAACGATGAGAAATATGGCGGTATAATTCTTGGCAATATGATTTTTGCAACCTTTGATGATATCCTTTACTTCTGCAGTTAAGCTAGACACAGTGGAGGCATTCTGCTCTGAACCAGGTTGTATGAAACACTTTACGAATGAGCAATGCCTTCAGGCCCATATCCATTCCTGCCACCAACATACTACCTGTGAGATTTGTGGGACCAAGCAACTGAGAAACAACCTCAAAAGGCATCTTCTCACACATGAAGATAAACATTCAATAGAGAGGATTAAATGCGATTATAAGGGTTGTCTTCATACATTTACAACTGTAAGTTGCTGACCTAAAAACAATAGTTGACCCACATTATTAATTATTTTGGGATGTAAAAATTGTTTAGAATTCTGTGTTAACATTTGGTTTTACACATGCAGAAGTCCAATCTCGCTAAACATGTGAAAGCTGTACACCTAGAACATAAACCTTTTGTCTGTAGCTTTTCGGGTTGTGGCTTGAGGTTTGCATACAAGCATGTGAGAGATAACCATGAGAAAGCTGGATGTCATGTCTATACTCAGGTGACTTTTTGGTCATGGATAATTCAATACCCCTGCATGTTGGATGTTTGCTTATTCTTTTTGGATAAGCATCTTTTCAGCCAATATCACAATGTGAACTCTTATGGGGGAAATCAATGGCTTTGAATTTCAGGGGGACTTTGAAGAGGCTGATGAGCAATTCCGGTCACGTCCAAGGGGTGGGCGTAAAAGGGAGTTCCCCGACATACCAATGCTGGTTCGGAAAAGGGTGACTCCACCAAATCAATTGGGCCAAGAGTCCGAGTACATGTCCTGGTTACACTCACAAGAGGACAATGACGAGCAGTGAATGTGAATACGAATATTGATATATATAGAGGTAGTAGGCGAGTAGCTTGGACATTATTCCACCACTTTTATTGCTGCTTGCTGCTTGTGAATGTTAATACGAATACGAATACTGATATATGTAGTAGTAGCTTTTGATAGCTTTTAAATCCGTCACAATTGTCTCTATAATTCTTCATGTAGTGCATTGTATGCTCTTGTTCCTTTCCACCTTATTTTGAAAAGTGGTTTCTATTGCTCGGTTTTTTTATTTTTTGACTTAAGTAAATATTCTAAACTAGTCAAAATACTGGGACGGGATTTGAGTCCGGGCGATGGGCATTCTGTCCTAACCAATATTCTAAACTATAAACTAGGGATGGGGAATTGAATTCGGTACAAGGTGGCCATTGCTCCAGCAAACTGACTCTCTCCACATTTGCATATTACTTTGTTTGAGTTTACTTCTTACACTTACAAGAAAATAAGGAGTTTTTGTTTTTGTTTTTTGGTAGTATTTAAATTCCCTTGTTTGGTTTTGAAACCCTTACAGTGCGTTTGGATGAGGAAATGTAAAAGTACAAAGGATTTCATAAATGATGGAATTTAAAATGACAGAAATTAATGTTCTAGAATTTGTAAAGTTTCTTGTTTGGGTGACGGATTTAAAACACGGAATTTAATTTTTATTTGTATAGTTATCTTTTTTTAAAACTCAATCTCTCTTGGGATTTTAGAAATGACGACTATTACATAGAATTTAAAGTTGGGATTTATAATCTCCAAATTCCATATTTTTTCCCACGCAGAATTTCTAAATTTCTATGTTTTTTTATCCAAACACGGGAATTGGTTCATGTCAATTTAGAAATCCTGAGTTTTGTTAAAATCCCAAGTTCATTTCCCTCATCCAAACACACCATTAATATTTTGAATTTACCCCTTTAATTTTCTCCCGTAAATATTTCACTTTTACCCTCCATGAATTAAAAAATGAAATACCACATAAGGCCCCAATCCTCAATTGACGCTCACTTTTCCAGCCTCCCTCTAAAGCAGATTCCACCGGTGGCGAGGGGTTGTAGGCAGCTTTGGTGCAAACATCAAAGATTAACTGAGTAATTTTGTTAATGCTTAGGTCAAATGTGTTTCTTTTGTAGAACTCTCAATGAATGTTTAGTACCTTTATTTCCTTCATTTCCTAGCCTGTCCAATCGGTTAAAAAGTTCGATTGAATTCGGATGGATTTGGATTACCTCCAAAATATTTTTTATAGGCTTATTATCACAAAACATCCCTAAGGTTTACGAAACTATCAGATTGCATCCTTAATGTTTTTTTTTGTCATTTGTGGTCCTCAAGGTTAGTATATGTGATCACAAATGGTTCCTGTCGTTAGGTTCTGTCAAAAACTCCGTTAGTTTCCTGACGTGGCATATATATTTACCATGAAGGAAGTTGAGGTTCCACCCCAAAACCAATTGGCAATGGGGGGAGTAGCCCAACTCCTTATAAGCCCTTGCTAGGTTTCTTAACTTTCCAATGTGGGACTTTTTACCTTCACATTCACACGCCCCCGCACGTGTGGCGAATTTTCAAGCCTAACACGTGGACAACACATTGGGTGACGTGAAGCACGTATGGCCATTGGGCTTTCACACGTGGGCTAACCTGGCTCTGATACCATGAAGGAAGTTGAGGTTCCACCCCAAAACCAATTGGCAATGGGGGGAGTAGAGTGGCGAATTTTCAAGCCTAACACGTGGACAACACATTGGGTGACGTGGAGCACGTGTGGCCGTTGGGCTTTCACACGTGGGCTAACCTGGCTCTGATACCATGAAGGAAGTTGAGGTTCCACCCCAAAACCAATTGGCAATGGGGGGAGTAGCCCAACTCCTTATAAGCCCTTGCTAGGTTTCTTAACTTTCCAATGTGGGACTTTTTACCTTCACTTTCATTTTTAAATTTTATGAATTTTAAATTATTTTTAAAAAACTTCATTAGTTTGTTGATGTGGCATATATGTGGAGCCTACATCTTCAAAAATATAGTGCCATATGTATTTAAAATACAATATATATTTTTAAATAATTTAAAATTCATAAGATTTAAAAATGAAAACCAAAATTTATGAATTTTAAATTTAAAAAATTAAAAAAATTTCGCAGGGACCATTTGTGATAATGTGTGAACCTCATGGATGTTTTGTGATATATATATGACACGTCAGCAAACTAACGGAGTTTTTTACGGAACCTAACGGCAGGGACCATTTGTGATCACACATACTAACCTTGAGGACCATGAATGACACAAAAAAATATTAAGGATGCAATCTGATAGTTTCGTAAACCTTAAGGACGTTTTGTGATAATAAGCCTTTTTTGTATTTGCTAGAATAAGATTTGAAGTTGGAATTTACTTATACAAAAAGATAACAAACAAAAATAGTGAAACAAGCCATACTCAATCATTGCAGACATAAGTTAGGTCCGTTGGTCAAAATAGCAAGTCTAGTATCTTACACTTTTTGAATCCCTCATCCTCTAATTTAGATAATTTAAAAATAGTTTAGGCTATGCAAATGACCCACTAACTAGTTTAATATGCGCATGCCCGATCATTAATATTTGTTTCTTCATTTTCGCCTTTTTCTTTGGGACCCAATATGTTTTTGAACAACTAACGAAACATTAGCCATTAGCCTGCGACAGTGTTGCGACCTAGTCCCGTCAGAGATGGTGTCAACAACATCTTCTTCTTCAGCTACATCCGGTGGCAGATTCAGGAATTTTTTAGGAGAGGGGCAACATTTAAAAGACTAAATGCTCCAAAAAAAGAAAAGGTATTTAGACAATCAAATATCCTTAAAATTTAAACTTTTGAACCTGAATTATTTTTAAAAAGAATATATAAAAAGATATGTTACTCATCTATTTAACACTACATGAAGATAACATAACAATTAAAAAGACAAAATAAAAATAAAAATAGCCTATTAATAAATATTAAATATGCTATTAAGTGGACATGAGAAACTATAACCTATTCAATTAATAGTGAATTTTAGAGTTTTTTCTCACACCAAACAAAACCTATTAATAAATATTAGATATGTTATTACGCTTACGCATATTTATAAGTTATTGAAGGCCCTCTTTTTGGGCTTTACCACCAAAACACACGCTTGCTTTTGGAGAACTCAGACTTAAATGAAACGATGTGTTTCATTAAAAGAGATCAAAGAAAGAGAATGGTGTTGTTCTAGAAAAATAAATGGGCTTTTTAGATCTAGGTCCAAAACGATTAGCTGTCATTGGGTTTAGTTCTCGCGTTTTTGGTTTTAGATGTAGGTCCTTTGACATTTATTACTTTTTTTGTTGTGTCGATTCTACCCTTTGAGGTAAATAAGGAAAACACATTGAAAATCTAAATTTAATGCATTATTTTCTTGTAACTGAATTCCAGAATTTAAATTTTGAATTTTTCCCTTGATGATTTTCCTAATATATGGATAAAATAAAGATCCACATATTATACGATCACATAGCACCCACATTAAATTATATACCTAACATATAGGTAAATAGTGTTATTATTAGCAACGAAAATACTTAGTGATAAATCATGTTACCTATAAGTTAGGAACATAAATTAGAAGATTACCTATAAGTCAAATATAAAAATAGACAAAATAAAATTGTATGTTATCTATAAAAAAAAGGTACATAAAATACTATTATACATTGTCGAAAATATGAAACAACATATATATATACCTATGCAATAGGCAATAGGCAATATGACATAAATGATTAATACCCAATTCAAGTCATAAGGGGCAACATTGGAACAAAAAATGATTTTAAAAATAAAATAATAAAAATATTACATCAAAAAATATTTAAAAAGGAATGTAATTCTATGTGACACAAAAGTCAAAGGACTTGGATCAAAGTCACCAAATCTGAGGATTAAACCCAACTCCTCAATAGGAATTTGGATTTATATCAATTTTTCTAAAAATAAATTAGGTTTGGTCTTCTTCTTTCGCGAAAACCTGATCCTTGGACTCCATAGCCACTAGCTGCCTGCACCTTTTTGCGTCTTACACTCTAAGGAATTTTCTGGCGAGGGGAGGTGCAACTGCACCTCCTTGCGCCTCTGTGGGTCCGCCACTGCATGCACCTCCCCTCGCCCCTGTGGGTCCGCCACTACATGCAGAGTTATAGGGAGGCTTATTGCTGAGCGATCAAAGGAAGCTGATGTTTATGCATTGTCTTATGAGCCCAGGAAAGATGAATGGATTGAAGGTAAGCTTGGCATTGTTCTTGATACCATTACAGAAACCGGGATCGTATTTGTTTGAACTAATTAGTGAACTCTCGTAGCCATGTTTGCTGCAACTGAAATTAAAATGTAGAATGTTTATCATTGTTTCACCACCAAATGAATGCCTCACAAATTGATTGGTTTGAAGACTTCTCTCTCTACTTAGTTCCATGCATGCTTGCTTCACCACCACAGCTAGTGTACCTATGATCTATCCCATCAAACAACCCATAAATTGTAACATCTGGGGGACGAATCTGATCAAGGTTGATTGCTAGACTTTTGACAATTGGGACAGTTGAACTGATCTTTGTGGTAACGTTTCTTTGCTTAAATCGAATAAGCTTTTGAATTCATTTTTCCACTTATGGAAGATTAGGTCCAACCGACCGAATCAGCTCCTGTAGCACAGTGTTGTAAACGCTAAGGATTGGTTGCATTGCATATACACACCTTAAGAAAATTCATGGAAACAAAAAACACAAGTTATCATAATAAGTTTTTTATATAATTATAATAAGTGTTTCAAGCATGATAATAAATTCCAATACCTGGTTTGAACTTTGATTGACTATAATAATAATAATAATAATAATTAGTATCCAGTAATTTATTTGAGGATACTACTTGCCTCCCTACTGGTAAGGAGATACTCCTACTTCTTGCGAATCACAATTTGACACATGTCGCACTCCTATTGGTAGGAATGTAGAAACTCCTACTTATCTGATAAGGAGTGAAGTATTTTCTTTCATTTGAACAGGTGAACACAAGTATCTAGAATTTTTCTAACTTTTATTGGAATTTTGGGGGAGTACAAGGGGCTTATGTTTCTCTTTCATGAGTTGTCCCTGAATATTTGACAAGTCCTCAAATTTTTAAATCAATCAATTGGTCCTTAATAATATTTTGGTCCACACATCGATTTGGCCCCTCTCATCTCATTTCGCCAAAATCTTTGTTAAAATTGGTAATCTGGCCTACTTTAAAGAGATAATTCATCAAAATACAACCTATCAACATCTGACACAAAGTAAAGCTAACGTGTTTTGCTCAACGAGGCTCGCCTTGACGGGCCCCAATTGTGAAACTGTAATTGAAAAAAATATGACCGTATTGAGCACAAACATGAATTTTAGGACTAAATTGAGCTATATTTAAATGATAATACCCCTTTAAAGTTGGTTACACGACACACGTGACTAGTTTGACCCCCACTAATGGCATATATTATTAATAGTTTTAATCATAGCTCATGCTCTTTGTTTTACTCACATTATCCTTTTAATTATTCCAACCCTGTAGAAAAAAAAAAGGTTAATTTATTGTTTCAACCCCTAAAACTCGAGCTCACTCTCACTTAACCATATGGAACTCAAATTTCCTAACTTTACTTCTTTTTAAAAAGGTCTTCGCATGTCCTCTTTGTTAGGTCCTTAAATGAGCAGGACTGTAATATCAATTCGATTTGTTTGTTTTTTTGTTAGACCGTGAGAGCTTGAATGACCATCGACTAATTTTCTCCATGTTGAGCGATTTGCTTCGATTTGTCCTCATCTGAAAATCACCCAAAACACAGTCGGTTACAACCACAGCCCAGAAAACGGGATGGAGTTTTGGCAAGTGGGGTGTTGGTCTACTTAAAGCGCACTAACTGTTAACTATTGATATCATTCTCTCATTGTTATCAGTTAGTGAGCTAGGTGTGAGAGGCACGTGAGTTGTTAGTAAGTATGTGAATTAGTTTGACAGCTGTATTGCACGTGAGTTGTAATTGTGTGAATTAGTTAGACAGCTGTATAAAGTGTAATACTGCTGTAGCTTAAAAGATTAAGAAATACAGAAATCAAGATTGCAATTTCTCTCTATTTCTCTTTTCTTCTTCTTCTTCAGGTACTTCTCTGAATATGTTGGTATCAGCGCCCTCAGTGGTTTAAACATAATCAAACGATCCTATCCTCCTTCTCTTTGATTTTCTTCCCTTGTTCTCTCTGTTTCTTGAAATGGAGTCATCAACTCCCCCTGAAAAATCCCCATTTGTTTCCCAATCATACAAATGAGGATCCGGATTATCCATATTTTCCTTCATGACTTTGTCCCATTTTAGATGAACCCCTGTCTTCTTCACTCTCACTAAATCAACATCATCAGGCCTTACAAGAATGCAGACTCGCTCCCCGCCTTGCAAACGGAGCACATCGTTTGACAATTGTCCCTGCCAAAGATAATCGTCTTCAGGTTCCTCAGGTTCACCGGAATCGTCTTCAGGTTCTTCAGATTCACCGGAATCGTCTTCAGGTTCACTGGAAGATTTTAAGGAGGCAAATGCTATCTTGGTGTGCAAAGCAGTTTGTTTGGTAAGATTTCTAACGATAATGCCAATAGGACCATCTTGAGAATCTTCAAATTCCTGATAATGCCAATGAGACCACCTTCGCCTGCCTGAAGAGTAAACGAAGCATATAGTCAACCCTTTTAAATCACGACCCATGATTCTTTGAGGAACTTCGAAGAAGACGATATTGTCCACATCATTGACGAATTTGAACCACTCAGGAATATCATAATTTCCATTCAAATAAATTCCACCAAATCCGCAAGAAGTCCATCTCTGCACACCAGAAGCAACACATTCTTTCTTATACATGCATGGATATATCATTACATGGGCAGTCAGATTGTGTGTGTGTGTGTGTGAGAGAGAGAGAGAGAGAGAGAGAGACCTGTAGGATGTTGTTCCTAAAATCGGCAGTCAGATTGGTGCAGCCTTCCATATGAATCCTTGTCATGGAGTTTAATGACTTATCCAAGCCTGGAACCTCAGTGAGTTTGAACGAATCACTTAGATACAATTCTCTCATATTCCACATTTTTGAAAAATCTGGAATTGTTTCCAATTTTGGGCAGCAAATTGCTTTCAGAACATGCAAATTGGTTGGTAAATCTGGGATTGCAAGAAGTTCTCTGCATGCATTTAAATACAAGACCTTGAGCTTTGAAAGACCAGCGAGACTTGGTAGGCTACAAAAGTAATTGCTTTGAAGACGCAGATGTTCTAAGGAAATTAGGCTACATAGATCCTTAGGGATTGCATCCTCAGTTAACCCCAACCAGCAGCCTGCAAGACATAATAACTCTATTAAAGAGTTTAAGGCATGTAACGAAAGGGGTAAAAGATGGAATTTCAAAATTCTCACCAGATAGAGATAAAATTCTCAACTTCTTCAATTTTACTATGGAAGATGGAATCTGTCTGATGAATGTCTTATCTGCTTCCAAAATTGTCAATGATACCATGTCCCCTAAGCCATCACCCAGCTCTCGAAAACGTGAACAACCATTCAGTATAAGAGTTTCAATAGACTTGGATTTATAGAAATTCAGTGGGAGATCCTCTAGCATGAAGCAGCCTTGAAGATTTACCAAAGAAAGTCCTCCAAGATACCCGATGGATGAGTGAACCTTAATCAACTCCTTACAACCTTTCAATATCAACTTCTTGAGATTTGGGAATTTTGAAAAGTCTGGTGATTTTGTTATGTGATTATCATATTCGACATGAATGATGTCATCATCATTGACCAGATATGGGCGTCGTTCATACGCACAAAGATGGTAATCAATCATATTTTCGTTCATAAATTTGTCCCATACCAGACTAACACCTGTTTTCTTCACCTTCACCCATTTGTCCACTATTATTTCAATCAAGACTTTATCACCGTCTTGCAATTTGAGCTCGTCATTTGATAACTGCCCCTGCCAAAGATAATAACCTCGGTCATGATCGGTTATGATCTTGGCGTCAAGCTCAGTACCCTCGGTCATATTTTTAACGCGAATGCTAGAGCTAGTCGGGCGATTACCGAAGAGTAAGGTTGAAGTGGGGAATGAGTCTGAAGAGTAAACAAAGGACAAAGTTAACCCTTTCAAATTACGACCAACACTTTGAGGCACAGTGAAATACACAATATCATCGTCATGGACACAGTCGAACCAATCAGGAATATCATATGCACTGAGAAAAATGCCACCATATCCGCAAGAAGTCCATCCCTATACCATGTAGAGCCACATTTCTATAAGAAATACATTCTTATGCATGCATGTGTACATGTGCGTTGTATGTGATAGAAAGAGAAAGATGTATGTGCGTGTTTGAGAGAGAGAGAGAAGGATTGACCTGTAGGATGTTCTTCCTAAAATCGGCAGTCAGATTGACGCAGCCTTCCATATGAATCCTTGTCATGGAGTTTAATGACTTATCCAAGCCTGGAATCTCAGTGAGTTTGAATGAATCCTTTAGATACAATTCTCTTATATTCGACATTTCTGAAAAATCTGGCATTTTTTCCAATGCAATGCAGCCACCCGCTTCTAAGACTTTCAAATTTGTTGGTAAATCTGGGATTGCACGAAGAT